ACCCAAAAAAAAAAAAAAAAAAAAAAAAAGGTGGAGAAAAGTAGAAAGGACCAGATTTCAAGTAAACACTAGCAGGTGGGTTCAAATGTTAAAAACCTTGGTATGCCATTAAAAAAAAAAAGAAGGCTTTGCTTTTGGTGCAGCGTTCCTCAAAATGTAGAGTATGAAATACTTGTGTCACAGTTGCCTGGAGCACCAGTTCAAGTGCAGATTTCCAGACTCCAGCTCCATCTTCTAGATCAGAAGCTCTTTGTATGTATTGTGGGAATCTGCATGTAAAATAAGCTCTTCATTAATTCTGATGTCGACCTGAAGCTGGAGGTCCTCTGTTGAATGAGAGTGCCTTAACTCTCACCTGGAATTCTCAGAAAGCATCTTTGGGCTGAGCCTGTTGAGTTCTGGGGGCTTATCCTGACCCTGCCAGAGATTTTTCAAGTTTGTGAATTACTGTGATAGAAAATATGGATAAGCAGCTCTCCTCCCTGTAGTTTGGTGAATGCTTCTTCGTTGTCCCTAATGACAACTAAGGGAAAGTGCCAGGCATGATACCCTTCACATATACAGTAGGCATATACTTTCCCTTTCCCTGATTCCTCTCCCCAGTGTTACATCTGTGATCATCCCAATGTACAAATGTATGCAAGATTATGTAAAGTATTGGACACATCTGAGTTGTTCCTGAGGAAAAAATCGTATGATGTACAACATGATCAGTATGCTAGGACTATGGAATTACTGTGACAGGGCTGTCAGCAGTTTTAGTTTGAGATTCTTTACTGAAAATAAACATCTGTCTCTGAGATTTTTTTCTGCAGTACAGGAGAATGACAGCTTATAGCTCTATTAAAACGGTTTAAAATGGGCCTGGATATTTGTTCCATCTGATAAAAGAATATATTTATATATGTAAATGTTCTCATATGTTGATGTTTATCATTATTAGCAGAAGTGTCTGACCTGTCTTTTTATTCTTTTAGGTCATCCTATGCTGATATGCTGCATGACAAAGACAGGGTAAGTATAGAAGGAAACTGTTATCTTGATGCGGTGTTTGAAACTTTCCATTACAGGAAGGTTAAAAACTTCCCCCAGAGGCATGATGTTGGAATGATGCAGAGAGGCAGTACGGTGTAGTGGTTGGGAAATCAGGAAGCTGGGTCCTACTTCCTGCTCTGTTATTGACTTGAGCGTAACCTTGGAGAAAACATGGGACCTCTGCAGACCTCATTTGTTAGAATTTACAATGAGTGGGCCATACTAGTTGATTTCCATGATCTCTAGATAAAAATACTTTGATTACAGTTTTACCTCGTATAGTCAGTTTGTAATTTTAAAATAAACTCTCTAGAGGTCACTGCAGACTGTATTTTGTAAAGCATATTTGGCTTTCACTGCAGAATTACATTTCAGCTTTTGTCCTTTGTTTCATCTGAGTTTTCTTTGTCTGTTTGAGTAAATGTTAACAGTTCTGGTCTTATGATGGCTAGCAATCCAGGATTTCCTGGTCTACCAGAGTGCTTGACTAGTCAGCCTCATCCAGGTGGTTCAGAAATTGGGAGGCTTGAAGGAGAAGGATGCAGGGCCACACTTAAAAACTGAGCAGTGCACTGCAGAAAGGCCAGGGAACGTGGCAGGGCTGGTCATGAGGCTGTGTTGGTGGTGGTGTCTCTTTCACCCAGCCCTGGTTAACTGCTCAGCTTGCCTACTTCTTGGTAACACTATGACAGAAGGACCTCCTTCAGCACCATTAGTGTGTAGGCTCCACGGGAGGGGCTAGGTGCCTCTCTAATTTTGTCAAATACCTGAGTGCCTTTGCTGAGCTGTTGGGGAATTACCGAATGTGGAACAGATATTGTTCCCAGCTTTTGACTAATCCTTTCTAGTTTAATGGTCTTCCTCTTGGACTCGTGGGCCTGTGAGCCTCTCTGATTTTAGTGTCATCTCCAGTGAGGGTCCTTTTTGACCCAGCTTCCAGGGGATTTGGGCAAATGGCATTGTCATGCATCTGGTCAGCCAAGCCAGATGGCGCCCTTTTCCTTATCTGAGCCTGTAGTTGGTTGGTCATCAAATCCTATGGTTCTTTCAACCCCATTGCCTGCTCAGCCGTCATTTACTGGCGTTGGTCCCTCTTCTCCTTCCTCTATACAGCAGCCCAAGGGGTCTTTCTGAAATGCCCATCTGACCATGTTACCCCTCTGTTTAAAACTCTTCAGTGGCCTCTCTCTGCTTTTGAGGTAAAATTCAACCTCCTTGGTGGAACATTCCTGACTCTTCATTATTTACCTCTAACTTCTGTTCTCCCCTCCCCAGTTCTGCACATGAGGAAATGCAGTCAGAAGTTGCTGGTTAGTGGCAGAGTCAAGAAAAACATATTTCTTTATGCTTTTACATGGTGCCTCACATTTTGTTGTTTTATTTTTTTTCGTAAGGTTTTATTTATTTATTTATTTATTTATTTGGCTGCGTTGGGTCTTCGTTACTGCACGCGAGCTTTCTCTAGTTGCAGTGAGTGGGGGCTACTCTTCGTTGTGGTGCGCGGGCTTCTTATTGCAGTGGCTTCTCTTATTGTGGAGCACGGACTCTAGGCGTGCGGGCTTAGTAGTTGTGACATGCAGGCTTGGTAGTTGTGGCTCACAGGCTCTATAGCACAGGCTCAGTAGTTGTGGTGCACGGGTTAGTTGCCCCGTGGCATGTGGGATCTTCCTGGACCAGGGCTAGAACCCATGTCTCCTGCATTAACAGGCAGATTCCTAACCACTGCGCCACCAGGGGAGTCCTGTTGTTGTTTTAAAACACTTCCATCATCTCATAAAATTATTTCCTGTTTGTTTGTAATCAATCCTGGTACCCAACTCCCTGGTTGCCCCTGCCCGCCAGGCAACTACTGATAGGTTTTCTGTCTCTATAGTTTTGCCTTTTCTAGAAATTTCATCTAAATGGAATCATACGATATATAGTCTTATGTGTCTTTGTCCCTTCATTCATCATTTGAGGGTCATTCATGTTGAATGTGTCAATATCCATTACATTTTTTTTTTTTTTTTTGGCCATGTTATGTAGCATGTGGGATCTTAGTTCCCCGATTGAACCCATGTCCCCTGCATTGGGAGCACAGAGTATTAACCACTGGACCTCCAGGGAAGTCCCAATATCCATTCCTTTTTATTGCTGAGTAATACTCCATTATATGGATATACCATATTTTATCCATTTACCAATAAACAGACGTTTGGATTGTTTCCAGTTTTTGTGTATTTTGAATAGTTTTGTTGTGAACATTCACATATAAGTCTTTGTGTGGACATGTTTTCATTTCTTTCAGAAAATGTGTAAGAGGGACTTCCTTGGTGATGCAGTGGTTAAGAGTCTGCCTACCAGTGCAGGGGACATGGGTTCGAGCCCTGGTCTGGGAAGATCCCACATGCCGCGGAGCAGCTAAGCCCGTGCACCACAACTACTGAGCCTGCACTCTAGAGCCCACGTGCCACAACTACTCAGCCCGAGTGCTGCAACTACTGAAGCCTGCACGCCTAGAGCCCGTGCTCCGCGACAAGAGAAACCACCACAGTGAGAAGCCCGTGAACTGCAACAAAGAGTAGCCCCCGCTTGCTGCGACTAGGGAAAGCGCATGCACAGTGACGAAGACCCAAGGCAGCCAAAAATAAATTAATTAATTAAAATAAAACTACAAAGTTAAATAATGTACACTTAACATATAGACCCAGCAGTTCTACTCTTATACATTTTTTTTTTTTTTTTTTGCGGTATGCGGGCCTCTCACTGTTGTGGCCTCTCCTGTTGTGGAGCACAGGCTCCGGACGTGCAGGCCCAGTGGCCATGGCTTACGGGCGCAGCTGCTCCGCAGCATAAGGGATCATCCCAGACCGGGGCACGAACCCGTGTCCCCTGCATCGGCAGGTGGACTCTCAACCACTGTGCCACCAGGGAAGCCTTCTTATACATTTTTTAAAAATTTATTTATTTATTTATTTTTGGCTGCCTTGGGTCTTCGTTGCTGCACACGGGCTTTCTCTAGTTGCGGCGAGTGGGGGCTACTCTTTGTTGCGGTGCACAGGGTCTGGGCACGTGGGCTTCAGTAGTTGCGGCACTCGGGCTCAGTAGTTGTGGCACATGGGCTCTAGAGTGCAGGCTCAGTAGTTGTGGCGCATGGGCTTAGGTGCTCCGCGGCATGTGGAATCTTCCTGGACCTGGGCTTGAACCCATGTCCCCTGCATTGGCAGGCAGACTCTTAACCACTGCGCCACCAGGGAAGTCCCTATCTTTGTAGTTTTAATTTACATTTTTCTAATGGCTAGTGATGTCAAACATCGTTTCATGTGCTTATTTGCTATCTGAATATCTTTTGGTGTGGTCTAGGGTTTTGAACATTAGGTAAGACTCTTGATAGATACTACCAATTGCCTTTTAAGAGGGCTCCAATAGTAGCTTTAAAGTTGGATAATTAATTTTATTTATTTTATATACAGCAGGTTCTTATTATCTATTTTATACATATTAGTGTATACATGTCAATCCCAGTCTCCCATTTCATCCCCACGCCCACCCCCCCGCCACTTGCCCCTCTTGGTGTTCATATGTTTGTTCTCTACATCTGTGTCTCTGTTTCTGCCCTGCAAACTGGTTCATCTGCACCATTTTTCTAGATACAAAGTTGGATAATTAAAAAGTGATAGCTAGGGCTTCCCTGGTGGTACCGTGGTTGAGAGTCCTGCCGATGCAGGGAACACGGGTTTGTGCCCAGGTCTGGGAGGATCCCGCGTGCCGCCGAGTGGCTGGGACCGTGAGCCGTGGCCGCTGGGCCTGCGCGTCCGGAGCCTGTGCTCCGCAACGGGAGAGGCTGCAGCGGTAAGAGGTCTGCGTACAGCCAAAAAAAAGTGATAGCTAATTTAATGAGTTATTAATTTGGAACATATGCGGGCCCTGGTTTACTGTTGAGGATGCTGCTAATTAGGGTTCCCAGGTGATTAGCTCACTGAAACTCTCAGACCAGCTCCCAGTCCCACTCTCTTTCTTGTTACCCCACAGGCACAGCTATACAAAGAAAACTGCGCCCTCCTGCTTTTTGGGGATATAGTGTATTTGATGTTCATTTTCCTAGTTCAACAATTCTAACAATTGTCATCCTGATTTTTTTAACTTTTTTTTTCCTTTCATCATGGTAAAAAGCACATAACATAAAATGACATACTGATTTTATCCAAAGCATAAATGCAGTTACTTTAGGAGTCAAATATTTATGTGAGGCTTATTGTGAAAAATAGCAGTCCCAGGCTTCCCTGGTGGTGCAGTGGTTAAGAATCCGCCTGCCAATGCAGGGGACACAGGTTTGTGCCCTGGTCCGGGGAAGATCCCGCACGCCGCGGAGCAACTAAACCTGTGCGCCACAACTACTGAGCCCATGAGCAACAACTACTGGAGCCTGTGCGCCTAGAGCCTGTGCTCCGTAGCAAGAGAAGCCGCCACAATGAGAAGCCCGCGCTCTGCAACGAAGAGTAGCCCCTGCTTGCTGCAATTAGAGAAAGCCTGCGTGCAGCAGCGAAGACCCAACACAGCCAAAAAAAAAAATAATAATAATAAATAATTTCTAATAAATAAATAAAATTGGGTAGACAGAATACACACACACATACAAAAACACGCCGTTTTAAAAAAAAAGGGACTTCCCTGGTGGCGCAGTGGTTAAGAACCCGCCTGCCAATGCTGGGGACACAGGTTCGAGCCCTGGTCCGGGAAGATCTCACATACCGCGGAGCAGCTAAGACCATGAGCTACAACTATTGAGCCTGCACTCTAGAGCCAACGAGCCATAACTACTAAAGCCTGTGCGTCTAGAGCCCGTGCTCCACAACAAGAGAAGCCACTGCAATGATAAGCCCGGGCACTACAATAAAGAGTAGCCCCTGCTCACTGCAACTAGGGAAAACCTGTGCTCAGCAACAAAAACCCAATGCCGCCAAAGATAAATTAATTAATTAATTAATTAATTTAAAAAA